AAGAAACATCATCTTCATCATTTCAGCATCTTGGCCACCATGTATAAAACCAAAGGTTTATACTCCCATCATGGGTGAGGGAACACCACAGTGACAGGGAACAAGCAATCTAACATCCTTGGCTCGCTGTACTTGTAAATTTTCAGTGATAGTGATCCTGAGCCTGCATAGAAATGCGAACTATATGGTACCTTTGATGGCTTACAGTAGCTGGATGGAGTACCTAGTGCTCAACAGGCTGGGGACACAGAATAACAGAAGCAATTCTTCTTGTCATTAGTGCTAAGTTCTGTCAAGGTACATGCCTTCTGAAAGGATTATCTGTTTCAGTATGAAGAACTGGCCTCCTTAACACATTCTAAGTGTTTTGACATTCACTGTATTTATTATATATATATTTCAAAATTCAATTAGAAATACAATACTAATTAAAGGAGTTATTCCACCACAGCCAGGAATATAGAGAGACTCACATTTTGTAATATCTAACCAGATCTTCAAACTTAGCATGGGGTACACGGACACTGTACTTTCACAACCTAAAATATGGAGGCTCAGAGTTCTTCTGTTGTCTTAGAGTACTTCCTTTCAGGACATCTTTATGAAGAGACAGTTTCCTCCTATGGTGGTTTGAAATAAAAGAGCCCCAAAAGGGAGTGGCAACATTGGGAGGAATGGCCTTGTAGGACTGAGCATAGACTTGTTGAATGAAGTATATCACTATGGGGGTAGGCTTTGAGGTCTCCTATGCTCAGCTATGCCTGATGTCACAGTTGCTTCCTGTTGCCTGTGGATCAAGATGTAGAACTCTGAGCTCCTTCTCCAGCATCATGTCTTCCTACATGGCACCATGTTTCCCACCATGATAATAATGGACTAAGCTTCTGAAAGTGGAAGCCACCCAAATTGAATGTTTACCTTTATCAGTGTTGCTGTGGTCATAGAGTCTCTTTACAGCAATAGAAACCCTAACTAAGACACCATCTAAGCCCTGCAGGCCTCTGAATGAAAGATAAACTGAAAGCTAAGCTTTCACTCACTTGAGGTATTGGTCTAACAGGTTTGTCCGTTAAGCCTCCCACATAGATGATGTTGGGAAGCACAGGATGAGGAAAATCCAAGGCAAAGTCAGAGCTAACAAACCACAACTCTGCTTTCTGTGGAAGGTCAGACAAAACTGGCCGAGAGCCTTCTGCAAAATGCTGCTGGATGGTGCTGTCATATTGAGAAAGTATTTCTCTTTTCTTCATGGATGAATCAAGGAACATCAGGAAGTTCTTCACTGTGGCCCAGAAGTCCATTTGGTCAGTTAAACTGGAACCAAATCCTGGGACAAAAGACAAACGGTTTGGTAGCCCATAGTCTATAATGCTAAATAGAGAGGGAAGAAAGGCCACAAATTGTTTCCCAAGTTTCTCAGCAATCAAGAAAACACAAGGATCTGTTACATCCAAAAACAGCAGGTCAAATTTCTTATTCCTTAAGGAGTCCATGATGTCCTTTCTGCTTAATAAGTGACTGCATAAGTCCGTATAGTGTTCAAAGATCTTTATATTGGTGTGATGGTTAGACCTGTAAAATATATATATATATATATATATATATATTGAGGAGCTTTTTCATACTATTTGGAAGACTGTTATACTCAATCAAAGTATTTCACAGCTAGACTAATGCAAACCTATAATCCAACACTCTGGAAATGGAGACAGAAGTACCAAAAGTTCAAGGCTTGTCATAGACTTATGACTTTGAGGACAGCAGGCTGGGCTAAATAAAACTCTAACTCGCTTAGAATAAAATTATTTTTAATATATTTTATGAGAAGAGGCTCTGAGGCTTGAATTTTTTCCTTCTGTTTAACGCTAAACAAATTATAGTGTTACTTAATATGTAAAACACATTGCTTTTCATAAAATAAAGTATTTTTAATTAAAAATAAATAGGCCCATAGGAATTCATTTTCCATTCATCTACTTACTACAGGGAGATATTTATTTTCTTCTTAATGATATTTGCTCATCAGAGTCAGGGGAGGATATTCGAATTGATAATGCTGCACCCTTTCCATGTGAATTACAGCTGTTGTTCAAAATCTTCAGCTTTAGTCATTCTGATATAGATATAGCTCTGCTTCCCAAACTATTTCTTCTTCCATCACATTTCCTCTAAGAGTCTATTTCCATTCATCATCAGTGTTAGCTTATTTTCTTCTGTCTTAGAATAAATCAATCATTATAGTGGATCTCAGAGTATCAGTCTCCATGGGCAGGTGTATAATGCTGTTTACTTCACGTTATATAATGATTTTTTGTAGTTGTAGAGAATCTTGCTCTATTGCCCATCTGTATAAGTTGCATGATTACAGCTTCTAAATGATCTTCACATTTCTTGTGAAGAACCAGAGAGGTTTCCTAGTGAGATCTGAGCTTGCTCTGGCAGCAGGACTGCATAAGGGAATGCTTGGACCACAGGCATGGTTACCATGTGTTTGGAAGGGTCAACACTTAGCTGGGCAGTGTGCTTTGATGGCAAAGAAGAGATCTTTTGCCCTGCCCTGAGGTCAAGAGAATGGATATGAAGACTCTAGAGCCATGAATGAATTAGTCTCTGGTTTCAAACTTTAAGGAGAACTTTAAGACTATGATTAGGACTGATTTCTGAGCATTTGCAACCTCAGATATGAAACAGTTTTGAATTCACTATGGTAACTATGATAATCATGATTCATGTACCCTCTGTCTTGTTGGAAGAAATTATAAATATTTATGTTAAGAGATCTCTTTAAGGTGTTTGCTAAAGTTTACAAAGTAGTCCTGTAGAGAGTTTGCTTTTGAATGTAAGTTAATATTGTAAGTATATATAGTAATATTCATGCTAGTTGTAAATATATATAGTAATATTCAGACTAGAATTATGTCAACCTGGTGATATTAATGAACCATGATTTGGTGAAGCTAAAGGAGTCTTTAACTTTGAAACAGTTACATCACTAGTTTGTTGATTTATTTAATACATTTACATCAAGAGTTTTTTGATGTAAAAAAAAGGGCTTGGCAAAGTTAAGGCTGTTATAGACATTATAAACACATTCAAAAAGGACATCCCTCTTAGTCATCCTCTACTCCTTTACTGGGGGTGGGGGCGTGGCAGCCCTAGGAATTGCTGTGGTTTTTTCAACTATTTACAAGCTCTTAGTAGAGACCTGATTCAGAGCTGAGTTAAGCTCTGTACTTCCACCTGCCAGAGGCTAGTATTCAGAGACACGTAACCTTCTTCTTGCTGGCTTCCAATCTAAGACAGAGAATGCTTGATGGAAAGTGTATCTCAAGGAAGAGTAAGGCTGACTAGGGAAGAAGAATGATCTAAGGAAGGATATCTGAGGAGTCTGAGGGACCGTTTAAAATATTAAGAAGGGGGAGTTTTGGAGACCCACAGAAGTTTCCTAGTGGGATCTGAGCTTGCTCTACCCAGCAGGGCTACATAAGGGAATTATCAGACCATGATTGAGTATGGTTAGCAGGTGTTTGGAAGTGTCTGCACTTAACTGTGCAGTGTGCTTTGAGGTCGAGGGGGAGGTCTTTTGACCTGCCCCTTGACATTGTTATAAAAAGAGCCTTTGAAGAGGTAGAAGGGGCTGTTAGATTTTTATCCAGGTCCTCCCAAAGCTATCCTGTGTTTCTGTCTTTCTCCTCTTTGCTATCTTTCTATCTGAAATGTTTCTTATTCCTCTCTCCTCCTCATAGAAACCCTTTAAAACGGTGGGAGCTGGCCTCTCATGATTTCTTTTAATCCTATCTATCTTGGCTTGAATAATTTATCACACAAAGGGAACTTCACAATGATAATACTGGAACAAAGAGATCATGATTCAAGTTGCTGCCTACAAACTAAACAATTAGAAAAATAAATATAAAACCCACAGATTTTTTTCTCTTATATAGGAAACCTAAACTTAAATGTGTGTGTGTGTGTGTGTGTGTGTGTGTGTGTGTGTTTGCCTTTTTTGCTGATGAAATTAGAAAAGAGGCAATGAGAATACATAAAAAAGTCATCAAAACAGATACATGTGTCATGGAATAGTGCTATGGAGGAATTGGGCAACCCAGAACAAAAGATACTGACATTTATGTTTTCTAAAAAGTCGATAGCAAAGCCTATTACTTTATATGCAAACAACTTTCTAGTGGGAAAAATAAGTGTGATTGTAAGCTCATTGTTAGAGTTTACAACTCCTACTGCTCAAACTGACACTGAAGACTGTCCTCAACTTTAGTCATCCTACTGTAGACTTTTGTCTACAGCATTTTGCACAGACTCTTTCACATCAATGCGTAACAGATAAGCAACCTGGTAAGATGCACAAGTGCACCATATCATCCGACATCAAAAAATCCACAAGATGAGAGCCCAGAGTCTGGCTTATTTTTGCTCGCTTTTAAACTCCACTTCAAGTCACAAGAGCTGTGGTTTGTCTGTTGTGGGAATTCACACTGCTAATGAATGACCTTGGGGTATCTGGCACGATAGAGCCATGCTATTTTCTGGGTATGTGACTGTTTAAAACTGAGCAGGGGTTGTGTACTTTTTCTCTCTTGGTGTGACTAGAGACTAGAGGGCTGGTTCAATTCACCCATGGGCAAAACAGAAGGATTCTGCAACTGGATCTACCTTATCCTGTATATGTGCATCTGTTTTCCCTTAGCATCCATGAATAAATTGACATATATTCATATATATACCCTTTTAGCTCTCTGATCATTTGTCTGCAAAGTTTCACCTGTCAGAGAGTTTGTGCCCAATATGGCTGTGTAGATATAGTGGGATCTTTAGGAGGACACCTTTGTTGAAGGTTATTAGAAACCCGTACCCTATAGATGGTTAAAATAGTCCTAATTAGACTTTGAGTTAACTTCTGTGGGAGACATAAACCTGTTCTTTCTCTTCTCTTGACTTTTCAAGTCACACATTCTTTAGCCATTATCTGGTTTAGTCACACATTTTCCCATTATCATGATGCTTTCAATCAACCTGAGTGATGCTGACACCAGGAGCTTGAACTTCTACAACTGTAAATTAAATAAGCTTCTTTTCTTTATAAACTCACCTAAATTGAATTACTCTGTTAAAACAATGGAATGTAGATCAATACATGGCATATCAAGTTTATCACCTAAATTCTATTTTTTACATATTTTATATAATAATCACTAAATACCTCTAGTAGAATGTTAATCCCTTTAAAGTAAATCAAGTATAAAAACTCTCAAGAACTTTCTATTCTCATCAATTTGACTGTATTTTACTTGTAGTTTGAACCACACCTCAAGAATTCAAGCTTGAAAAGAAAATACAATATATATGTCAAAAATGTAAATAAATAACAACCATGTTAGACTAAGGTGTAATTTGTCTTCTTTCAAATATATGACAAAAGATATGTGATCTTTCAGTCTGTGAGTAAGAAATATTTCCAAAAAGAATCATGGTGCTGCGAGTACCATCTGGAATATTAAGTGGAATTTTCCAGGACAGAGATGAGTGAGACCAATGAATTTAACCAGGAAACAAATCCATCCTTGTTATCCATGTGGAAGACAAAGGAGGTTCTGTAGTCAGAAACTAAAAGCCTCAGGCTCATCTGTATTACCTAGCCATTGAAAAATTAAAAACTAACCTCTGGCCATTAGCTGTTAAATCAATGATAACCAAGCTATAATTCATAGAACCACAGAGGTTAGGTGTAGAGTAAGGGACCACTGAGAATGGGGAGAGTTCATTAGGAAAGGAAAATAGACTAGATAGTTACTGGTGTAAGTGCGGGTCTGGGATGGGGGTATCAAGTGGGGTGGGAGGAAATTGATGAGGGAGGGGATACAGGGAGACACAGATAAAATAAATGGACATTTTAGGAGTAGAATTAAATCCTATCATAATAAACACTTGCTAAAATGTATACAGATATGACGGTGATCTCAATAAAATTGCCAAATGATGTGGGAGACAGAGTCCCAACTCGCCATCTCTTACCACCAAATGAGCTTCCAATACTATAATTGAGTCAATCTAATTGAGATGTTGGACAAAGGGGTCCCACAGAAATTCCCCAAACAACCCATGCAGTTGCCAAAACTATAGGTTGCTCGCCACAAACTGACAGCAAAGCCCTATTGCTGAAAACAACACATACATAGACCAATAAACATGGAAAAAATGAGCTGTTGTCTGTATAGAGCTGAGGTTCTAGCATCTTTGGTACAGAAACATATTCTGCATGTGACCAAAATAGAAACATAAACACCAAGCCAGTTACAAAACCAGTGATCTTTGGAATTTGCCCCATGTAGGGGCCAATGGAGGCACAAAGCTTGTAGGAGTAACCACCCACTAACTGATTTGACTTTAAGTCCACTCCATGAGATGAAACATACCAAACACTGAAGTGGGTAGCCATTCCAGCTTTGGTCTGGAAGTTCCCACCTCCATTGATGCTTCAGTAACTATCATGGCTACAAGGCAGGGTCAAGAGAGGGCCCTGAAGACCCGAGATCCAGATGCGCTGCTCTCTCTTGTTTCCTGGACCCTGGACGCTGGAGGTAGACCGAGCAGAGTTA